ACGCCCGATGGACACCCGAACATATCGATCTGGTTGGGCAGCCTGGGCGCTGCACTACAGCGCCGCTTCGAGCGCGTCGGTGAGCTCAAGGACCTTGAGGCCGCGATAACGATGCAGTGCCGTGCCGTTGACCTCACGCCCTATGGACACCCCGAAAAACCGAGGAGGTTGGGCAGCCTGGGCTCTGCACTACAGTGCCGCTTCGAACGCGTCGGTGAGCTCGAGGACCTTGAGGCCGCGATAACGACGAAGCGCCGTGCCGTTGACCTCACGCCCGATGGACACCCGAGCAAACCGGTGTGGTTATGGAACCTGAGTAAAGCACTCCGAGCCCACTATGAGCGGACGCCCACCATTTCGTCCTTCGGCGAAGTCTGTTCCTGCTTGGAAAAGGGAGTGATGGATCCTTATGGCTCGCCGGAGGACCGCTTTCAGTCTGCTCGGCGTCACGTTTGGATGTTGACCAGGTATCCAGAATTCGCGACAACATCTTCTCTCCTGAATGCTCATTCGCATCTCTTGCAAATTATTCCTGAGCTAGTATGGCTGGGTCATAGCCTTGATCGCCGCTACGAAGAGTCCTCTCAACTGTCTCAAAACGTGTCGCATGCCGTGGCAGCTGCGGTTCACTACAATGCTCTGCCACAAGCGGTGGAATGGCTTGAAACAGGGAGATCGGTTATCTGGGGTCAATTGCTGGCTTTGCGCACCCCGCTTGACGAGCGGAACGATTGTCGTCCCGGCCTGGCGAAGGCTTTACATGACACCCAACAGCAGTTACAACAATCAGCGCATATACTACGATCAGACGGCTCTCGCATCGTGAATGTCGACCCAGACCGTACGACCGCCAGTTTTTCCGTGACTGCTTTGGAACGCCATCGTGGTCTGACCCTCGAGTACGACCGTTTACTGTCGAAGATACGAGAATGCGAAGGTTTCGAAGACTTCTTGCGTCCTAAGCCGTTCAAGGCTTTACTCCAGAAGCTCGGGCCTTTTCATGGATACTTTGCGTACATCAATGTACACGAATCTCGCTGCGATGCTCTGGTACTTACAGCCAGCCGCGAATTCACGCTCATCCCTCTTCCCGACCTTTCAGAAGATCGGGCCATGAAGTTGCGCTCACTCTGGGCACGACGGCTTCGAGCATCCGATAAGATTCGTTGGCGGGGCGCGTGCCCCGCCACTCGCGACGACCCAACGTATCCTGGGCATCTCCTGCGCTTCATGTGGCAGTGGATCGTCCATCCAGTGCTCGACTCTCTCAAGCTGGTCTGTCTCTCTCGAACCTTCTCTACGAACAACTCACCGACGTAGCATTCTATAGATCACTGTCGCTCAAGCGGGGCGTCTGCCCCACATCACCTGGTGTCCCATGGGGCCTCTAGCACAATTACCGCTTCACGCTGCAGGGCTTTATAGCGATATCGACGGGCCACGCGCATTCAACTACGTCGTATCCTCGTATGCGCCCTCCCTGTCTGCCCTAATACGTGCCACCGAGGATCTCGGGAAGCGACGGATCACCACTCCGAGCGCACTTGTCGTGATGCTGCCCGAAACCCCCGAACAACCACGTCTTCCGGGAACTGTTCTGGAGGGCCACCGTATCGAGCAGCTGCTCAACGAGGAGCACATCCCATGCGAGATGCTGAGCGACAAAGAGGCAACTGTGTCCGCCGTCACCTCTGCTATGAAACAGCACTCCTGGGTGCACCTCGCGTGTCACGGCTCTCAGCATTCCGGCGACGCAATCAACAGCGCGTTCCACCTCCACGACGGCCCCCTTTCGCTCACGAAGCTCATGCAAACCACAGCAGATGATGCCGAGCTTGCGTTCCTTTCCGCATGCCAAACAGCGACGGGAGACGAGAAGAATCCGGAGGAGGCTGTGCACCTAGCCGCGAGCATGCTCGCCGTCGGTTTCAAGGGCGTGGTCGCCACCATGTGGTCTATAGGTGACGCAGACGCGCCGATTGTTGTAGAGGAATATTACAAGAAGCTGCTGGAGCTCCGGGCGGCTGGTACGCTGGGGAAGGGCGAGACGGGAGCAGCATATGCGCTGCACGAGGCGGTGAAAGCTTTGAGAGACTCGCAACCCAACGGCGAAAAGAATTTTCTCAGTTGGATACCATTTGTACATTTCGGCGTGTGATTCGTTTCTCGGAGCGTGTGTGATTGCGATAGGCATCTTGTTCGGACTGGGTGTGTATGTGTGTACGGATGGAGTTCTGTATTCCCGGCATGATGTTTCGATCGGATATGTAGTTCTTGCAACAGTAGTATTAGACAATAGCTTCGCTCAAAGTTGGGAAAGAACGAGGTCTTGTACGATGACAGCGGTCGCTACCTGCGTCGCGCGCGTCATCCGCCTGCGCGCTTCGCGCCGCACCGCGACGAATGTCCATCTTCGACACCTCGAGTGCAGACTTCACAGTATCCGCGCGCATATACCTGATGTAAGATCATAGAAGCTCTCTTCAGTGAAGCCACGCGCAGCCTACGTTGTCGACGCGCACAGGCGCAAGCAAGCGGATAACGCGCGCGCAACGTGTATAGCGACCGCTATCGTCCGGCAAGGCCTCGACATTGAGCGAGAATAATCGCCAGTAACAGTGTAAGTATATGAGGGCTCGTATGTATTGCGGAACGAGAGGACCAGTACCAAGCTACCAGTCCTGGTGATGGTTGGAAGCCAGAAGGTCGTGGCGCGGCCGATGCTAGCAACGGCCTGTAACGCCGATCGGAGCAGCGGACCGACTCACCGATACTTAATCTAAACGAGCGCTAATCAGCTCCCGCGTGCGTCTTGAAAGTTGACAGAGACGACGACGAGCTCGAGCTCCTTCGGATCCGCTCCGGCTGAAGTGGCACAATGATAAGCGCATGCTCTCTTATGTCTATCGCTGGTCCAAGTCGTGAGACCAAATTCAAGTTGTTGAGAGTCTTTAGACCGACTCGCGAGGAGCTGCTGCTCAAGTTGTCCTGGGTAGAACTGACGCCAAGTTTGAGCTACGGCTATGCGGATACATAGTATTTGCCGTGTGTGAAGGCTGGTACGGCGAGGACTAGAGCCGAGGGCTGCTTCTGGTGCGTCTTGCTTCCGTCGTTTATCGAAGCTTTGCTCTCGGGACTGACTTCATACTCCTCAAATCCAAATAGGACCGTCACGATACCATGCGCTCTTTGAAACCACCATCACGACGCAGCTCTTTCATCTCTGTACTCTTGACCAAGACCAAGCACATGTCCATCCCTTCCAAGTTCATCTACGCAGGCCGGCCGTCTGTTCAACCGAGACTGGCATTTCGAATTCGAGCTCGGACGCTGGTTTGGAGAGAGGGAGGAGGGCCAGTTTCGGCTTGGGGATGGTTATGGATGGTCTGTGAGGGATGGTGTGGCGGGGGACTCTTGTGCGCACTGCAGACGTGGGCGTGGATGTTTGCGTGATACGCAAGGCCGGGGCAGGATCTTCATCCGACATCGGACGATGGGAGACCTCAACACGAGTCCACGCATGTCCCGTACGTCCATCTGATCTCATTCGCACAAGCAGTTCGAGCGCTCAACAAACTTTCCTATCCATGCTGCAGGAGCAGGAGCAGCACCGCACGTCGCAGCGTCAGTACCTCCTTTACGGTTTGTACGGTTGCCGGCTAGTCCGAGGCCTCGTAACCCTATCCCTTGCTCCAGGCCCTACCGGTATGGCCATAGTCTCCCTTGGACGAGATAACAACCGATACTATGCCAGGAGGTAGTTCCCGCCGTTTTCCGGTATTTCCCACGCTGAGCCCGCGGTATAGGCCACGGAACGTCAACAGCGCCAGTATACACGCACACTTTTGTGTAAAGAGTACGGCTCTAGTGGGGTGTGCCCGCGAGAATAGGACGTAGAGTACCGCGCGCGTGAATAGATCTAGTCTTGCCTGTATCCTTATCATGATGTCGCTCAGTTATTGATTGGAGTGTTAGAACGGCCTGGGCCAGCAAGCCGCATCGATGCGCGTACATAGCCACATTTCAACAGAGAGTGAGGTTCTACTACAGCTGCTGCGCGCGAGGCTGTAGCGATCCAACATGTTTTCGGAAATGGAATTGCATAACGTGAGAAAGCTGCTTCTGGTGTCCTATGTATGTATACAAGCGTTTCCCGCTCTCTGCTCTATGAAATTGCAGTACCCACTCCTATAGTCCCACTACGGCATCAGGACGCACGGCAGGACGAGCATCGTAAAGACCATATATCAATAGAGTTGGTACTTACCCTGCGGCCGAGGTGCCGGGAAAGGTAGGACGAGCGCGGAAGATCAACCTAGCAACTTTATCGGGTCACACATTGTCCGCGGAGGGTAGGGCAATACCAGTAAGATACTCATGCAGCCGCTGACAATGCTGGAGCGGAGGGGTGCGGGTGCGGGCGTGGTAAGCTCTTGTCGGGTCGCGGCGCGCGTGTTGGGCCTCGGAACGGCGCCTGTATGTCGAGGGGACGCTGGGGCCACTTAGAGTCGAAGTTGACGGATTAATAAATTAGCTGGGGGTGGTGGGTGCGGGTGAGGAAGAGATTATACGCCTCGAGCTTGAGCTTGAGCTTGCGGGTTGATTGTCAGTTGAGGAGGCGCCGCGCGAGAGACTGATGGACAAATGAGATGAGATGGAGAGACGCGGCGATTTGACGTATATAGTTGCACAGAACTCGTCGAGAGCGGTCGTCTTCTCAGTAGTTTTACACTTCGCGAGGGTAGCCGAACATGCATCATGAGAGGCGCACGCGAGTATTTGGACTCGTGAGCCGTGTATAAGAGCGTGCGTTGTGACGGAAGACGGGCTGTGAAGGCGAGGTGGTCAAGCAAGCCCGTGTCTGTGCCATTGTCTTTCGGGACTGTAGATATCCCTGCAAACCTGCAACTAGATCGCGCGTCTTGTTCGGGTTAGCGTTTGGCGCAGGCGGCCCGTCCGGTCGTGATTGGACATGACAGTGACCAGCAGCGCGTCAGGCATTCGCTTGGAGTCTTGTCCAAGCACCCTTTCAAGGATATGCCATAGCATAGTGCAATATCGCAAGGGCTTCTACTTCGCGGTACATATGTGATTGGCTTTGTCGCGATGGAAGACGAGAGCAAGAACGGCCGAAAGCCTAAAGGCTCGGCTCGACTGCGATCTTCGCACGCCCTTAGCCTCCCGAAGCGCGCGCGCCATGCACCGTCGCCCGCTCCTCCTCCCCCACCTCCCCATTTCACCAACTTATACACAAAGCACACACTCCCACGCTCCTTACGCACGACCCACCGCCATGCGCGGGCACAAACACACGACCAGCGCCTCAGTGAACCAAAAAGCGCACCTGGCCTCGGCGTACAACGAGCTCGGCAAAGAGCTCTCCTCGGCGCGCGTGCGCGTCGTGGGCAACTACACGCTCGGCAAGACGATCGGCGCGGGGACGTACGGCAAGGTTCGCCTGGGCACGCACCGCCTCACCGCCGCGCGCGTCGCGATAAAGCAGATCCCCAAGGCGATGAGCGCGTCGCTCACGCGGGAGATACACCACCATCGACAGCTGCACCATCCGCACGTCGCGCAGCTGTTCGAGGTTATCGCTACGGAGCAGAGTATTTGGCTCGTCACGGAGTTATGTGCAGGCGGCGAGCTGTTCGATTATCTCGCGGAGAAGGGGCGCCTGAGCGAGAGCCATGCGCGCGCGCTGTTCGGGCAGCTGTGTTTGGCGGTGGGTTATATCCACGAGAAGGGGATCGTGCACCGCGATCTGAAGCTCGAGAACGTGCTGCTGGACGAGCGGTGCAGGGTCAAGCTGGGCGATTTTGGGTTTACGCGGGAGTGGGAGCGCAGCGGGTATTTGGAGACGTTTTGTGGGACGACGGGCTATGCGAGTCCGGAGATGCTTGAGGGGTTGAGGTATGTCGGGCCGGGTAAGCGTTTTATTATATATGGGGTATTGTGTAAGGACTGAATGGGTGTGTAGAGGTGGACGTATGGTCTCTAGGCGTGATACTCTACTGCCTCTTAACAGGCGGCCTCCCCTTCGACGACGACGACGAGTCCATCATGCGCCTCAAAGTACGTTCCCTTCCTCTCAATTTATAATATAATCTAACACGCCAATGCAGGTAATCCGCGCAGAATTCGCCCTCCCCCCCTTCCTCACGCCCCCCGCCCGCGACCTCCTGCGCTCCATCCTCCAAAAAGACCCCACCAAGCGCTCCACGATCCCCCAGATCCTCGCGCACGCGTGGTTCAAGGGCGATGTCCCCAGTGCGCTCGTGGGCGAGGCGGAGGGCATTCAGTCGAATTCGAATGGGGCAGAGGGCACAGCGGATAATACGAGCAGCAGTGCGAGCGCCAGTGCGAGCGACGAGGACGGCGCGGACGATAGCAGCAATACCACGCCCGACCCCTCCCCTGACGACGATCTCGAGGCGAACGGCAGCGTCAGCCGCCGGCCCTCGCAAGCCACCATCCGCAACCCCATCTCCACCCCCGCCGCGAAAGCGGAGGGCAAGAAGCCCGAGACGGTATTGGAAGAAGACTCAGCAGGGACGGGGCTGGAGAGGGTGCGGACGAACGAAAGTCTTAGTTCGCCTGCGTTGCCGACGCGCACGCCTGTAAGGACGAAACGGAGGAGCGTCTCGTCCACACTCGGTGATCCGCGCGACGAGTCGCCCTCCCGCCGTTCTCCGTCCCCCGGGCGCAGCGACGGCGGCGACGACAACACGAAGACGCGCACGAGTGCGGACGGGAGAGAAGGTGCAGGTGAAGGTGGCGAGGGGGAGGGTAAAGGCGGAGGAGCGGGGGGAGGGGCGGGCAAAGCGACGGACTTCGCACATGCGCTGTCCAAGCCTGCGCCTGTGATATTTGGCACGGCGCTGGAGAGGGAGCTCTTGAATAGCCTGAGCGCGTTGGGGTTCGATACCGGCCAGGTTCGTACTACCTCTCTTTCTCTCTCTCTTCCCTTCCCTTTTCTTTCCTTCTTCCCTCTTGCTTCCCTTCTTCCCTCATTACTCTCTTGAACGGACTGGGCTGATGATGTGTTGTGTGTGGCGTAGGTCGTCCACTCGGTCCTGTCCAACGCATGCGACTCGGCCGGCGCGATATGGTGGATGCTCAAACGGCGCGCCGAGCGCCGCGCTTTGGAGTCCGGCTCCGCATCCTCTCCAGCCGAAGTCGACGTAGAAGACGAGATTGCGAGCCGCCGCCCGTCCTCCGACTCCATCCCAAACGACAACGCCCGCAAACCGCGCGAACAGCGCCGCTCCGAGTCCCCGACGCGCAAAGGCAAATCCGCGCTCATCTCCTCATTACAACCACTCACGAGCTCGACGCCCGCACCTGCACTGGCGTTTATACCGCCCACGCCTGTGACATTGACACATGCCATCCGGCCCCAGACGCCCCCGAACCGCTCGACGTCGCCGATACACCATCTGCTGAGCGCGTCGAATACGGACGGGAGCATACGGAGTAGTGCGGATGGGAGTATGAGGAGTAGCGCGTCTACTCCGAGCGCGCTCGGGCGGGACTCTGTCGGCTCAGGTGGGAAAGGCGACTTGGGCGGGAGTGCAGGGGGAAGTGTGGGGAAAGGAGACGCAGGAGGAGGAGGAGGGAGTAAAGGACGCGCGAAGCGGAGCGGGAGCGTGAGCATTATGCAGCGCGCGACGACCGCGCTCGAGGCTGCGGGGCTTGTTAGGAAGAAGAGCGCCGAGGCGGTGTTGCCCGGGTCTAATACGCCCACTAGCAGCCGGATCGAGCGGGAGGGGAAGAGGCCGTTGACGGGCGATGCGAAGGATAAGGATAAAGGAGGGGGAGAAGCGGCGAGACCGTTCACGCCCGACGATAAAAGCGTGCACTCCTCGCACCACCCGCGTTCGCCGCCGCTCGCAGTGGACCTCACACCACAGCCCTTACCGATTCAACACGTCCCCTCCGTCCCAGAGTCCCCATGGGTGATGGCGGGCGGCATCGCGGACAGCGGCTCGCTGGACGATATCGCGAACGGCTCGCCAAGGGATACGCTCACGGCGCTGCCGGTTATTACGGGGAGCGGCGTGAAGAGCGGGCATGGGCGGAATCGGGGGAGCTTGTTGAGTACGTTCCGGATGTGGTTCGATCAGGATCGCAAGGCGTCCAAATCTG